CCAGTTTACTCAGCACCCGCCCCAGTTGAACACCATCAACCTGCTCCAGTTTACTCAGCACCTGTTCAACAACAACCCGCCCCAGGTAAAATCTCGACCCCAAGGTTTTTCCAAATATTTTCCAAAAACAAATTGACATAAATAGGAATTTTTGATTTTAATTAAAATATGCTGCATCCACTGGTGTTTCGAAATTACCGCATACAAACGTAAATAAATTTAAGCTTTGGTATCGGCACAAAACTTGCACACGCTCTTCATTGCAATACACACAGCACAAAATTGCACAACAAATTTATTTAGAAATTCATCAATATAAATACAAAATTATTCGATATAAATTAATAAAATCATTTGATTATTACAGTTCAACAACACCAACCAGCCCCAGCCTACCAACCAGGTACGATTCCATACTTATTTTTGCGTTATTCGTAACACAATCAATGAAATTAAATTTTCCAATGCTATTTTGATTGACTGATTGATATTCTCTTCTCCATAGCTCCAGCACCAGTGCATAATGAACCAGTCTTCAGTGCACCTCAACCAGGTAAATAATTTACTATTTATTATTAAATGGAAATGGATTGAAAATTGAATAGTTTATTAATGATAAGACTTTTTACAATTTCCAAAAATAGCTCCAGCAGCACCTGCTCCAGTTGCATCTGCCCCATCTTTCTCAGCACCTCAGCCAGGTAAATAAACTGGCAATCAAACTTGCAAAACATCAATTGGAAATATCGAAAAATCGAATCGAAACAACTGATTATTTTATTAACAAAAACTCTTCTATTTCTTTTTGAATAGCTCCACAACAATCATACTCAGTACCAGCTCCAGCACCAGCTCCTGCTGCTGCCACTTTCTCAGAAGAAGAAGGCTACAGCTACAGAAACCCAAACAAACTCTAAATTATTTAATTTGGATCGAATGATTTTGCTGAATGTGGCTAACATAGATAAAATAAAATTAAACATGATGACATGTATTTGAACAAAAAAAATCAAAATAAAAATCATAAAATATAAAGCAATTATATTTAAAAGAAATATAAAACAAACTGTTTTGCTTATTAATTCATTACCATCTGAAAATGTTTCAATTGTAATATTGTAACCTTTTGCATTGTTAAATTAATGCCGAAAAAAGAATTCGTTTTATTTGAATTTATTGGGCATATCCCAAAATATCATAGAAAATTCTACATTTTATTCCAATCGATCCTTTTTTTGGATTTTTCAGCTTTTTCTATAATTTTGATCATTTGTCATGACCCATGAGTTCACTATTTTGGCTATTATAATCACTCTTTTTAACTTGCTTCGAACTTTTATAAGAAATCGTGATTTTTCTTGAGATTAAAGTAATTTTAAAATATATTTTCTTGAAATTTATTCAATATAGTTGTCAAAAAAAACGAAAAATGAGTTATGTCTAACAGACTTCCGTCAGCGCCACGACCGAAGCAAACACACAATGCGAAAATACACCGTACTTTTTCTGAGTTCGTAAGACATGTGGACGATGTTTTATTTTTGTCTATACGACGTGAATTCGACTAAATTTGCATATATTTGCATCGTTTATTAGAAAAATAATATCAAACCACTTGGACGATTGTAAAATTCCGAATTTTCTGACTGTGATGGTGAATCACTATAACTAACATTGGCACATTTGACAAAATGGCTCATCGTGGATCGAATAAGTTCGGTATTTCATCATAAAATGAAATTACGTATCAATTTTGGTGATTGACGTGTTCAGCAAATTTTAGTTTATTATCAACTATCTTGGATCTACGATAAGTTTTTTTGTTGCTGATAAATAAAAATGTGATATTCCATTAGAGTTATTTCAGATTCGAAATATTTCGGTCAATCATAAAATTGTTCAACGTTCTTTACAAGAATTTCCTTTTCAAAAAGTTTCTGGATAAAAGCAAACTTTTAAAAACAACATTTTATTCGAAAAAAAAAAAATAAACCAAACTATTTCTTCGCTCATTGTTGCTGAAAAAATGGAAACCATTGACTTACGAAATATTTTGTGGAAAAAGGAAGATTATACTGCATTGGAAGAGCTATTGAAAACTGAAAATATAAAAAAATGTCGGAAAAAATGAAAATGATAAAATTGTGAATGATTATTTCTCTTATGATTTTTCAAAAATTGAATTTCATTTACGATATTTGACCGCATTCGGATGTGATCCGGAGAATAGCATTCAGGATGAAGTATATGAAAATTCCGATATTTACATTGATATGTTTCAAAAGGGCATATACTTTTATGCCAAACAATTATGAAGAATCGTCTAGTGATGAGAATGAAGATGAATCAGAACCAATCTTCACAGTGCAAATTTAATGTTACCGCAAAAGATTTTCGCGAAGAAGGAAAAAAGCTATTTGTTGAACGAAATTTTTTGGCAGCAATGGATAAAATATGCTGAAAATGGAAGCGAAGAGATTGGACTAACGCTTGCGAATCGATCATCGTGCTTCTTTCATTTGAATATGTTTGAAGAGTGCTTGACTGATATCGATTTTGCGCTAAATTCAAACTACCCGAAAGATTTAGCCCACAAATAAGAGCAACGGAGATCGAAACGCTTGAGTTTGATGAAAATGGAAAAATCAGTTCAGTATTTTGAGCCAACGTTGGATATTGAAGAGCATGAAAATTTACAGGTGTTGCAAATTGCTTGGAAATCCAGAAGAACGATAAATATGGCAGACATATGATCGCAACAAATGATCTTCAAATCGGCCAAACAATTTTAGTGGAAAACCCCATCTCAATCGTTCAAACAGGATTTTCAGATCGTTCTCGTTGTAAATACTGTTTTAAAGAATGCGTTAATTTTATAGTTTGCCAGAACTGCAACAATTATCTTGCCTGTTCTGATTGTTTAAAGTCATCACTTCATAAATTCGAATGTCACTGGCCTGTCCTTTTGCCGGATTCGAAATCCAACGAATTGATTCTACAAATACTCTTCAAAATGAATTCCATCTTTCCGGATGTTAATTTCTTGATGCAAACGGTTAATTTAATGGTAAACGACGAAGAAGTAAATGATCTAACGTGTGCGGCGCAAAGAGAATTCTGCATGCTATTTCAACTAGATCATAATCATGAGAAGATACTCTATAGGTATACCTCTATTGTACTAAATTTGGAGATGATGCTTCAATACACAGCGCGTATTCTTAATCACCTTATAATGTTTAAGGCTTAAGTAAATTTTCAACACTTAGAGGTCGCCGATTTTTGCAACATTTGGTATTTCATTTGATTCACATAGTCAAACATTCGTCATTTAAGGTGCACGAAATAAATATTTATTCCGAAAATGATGACCAAACCGTCTTGGATTATAGATGTCCTATTAACATCGAAATATTAACATATCTTATTACTAAATACGAAAAATCCTTTATTAACTATTAACAACCAATCATACTGCGCATAATAACATGAGTAGTAGTATTAAGATCGATGTTAATAGCGAGTAGTAGTATGTTTATTATCTATTAAGATGCCGAAGTTAGTACGC